GCAATATTTAAAAATTCCTCAAAACAGGAGCTATTTAGGCCATACACATTATCGAAGATTCTAAAAGTCTCAAAAATGGCAAGTGACATAAGAAATAAATGCAGGATGATGTAAAGAATCCCTGTTACAAACTATAAAACCAACTAATATAGGTACTATAAGCAAGAATAAATATTTTTCTCTGGATTTTATGCAATAATTTAATTCAGAAATGAGAACAGGGATGGATATTTTAAAATTACCAGTTTACTACCTTTGGGACTTTTATGGAAGTAACAGAATTTCTCACGAGGGTATCAATACCTCCACAAAGTGAACCAGAATAAGTTGGTAAGAACAAGTGACAGCACTCTCCCTCTGCACTTTATCACCATACCAAGCTATGCCTGAACTCCACGTCCTGGGAAGACCATTCTGCCCTAGAGAGACAAGGAAAGAAGAGGGTACCCTCACTCTACTCCAATATGCCTCTTCAGTGACAAATTATTAAAATCAAGGAGAAATGGACGTGTGTGCAGAAGAATATACACAAAGTGTGTTAGTTAACGTAGCGCCATGCCCCTAAAACATGACCACATACCCAGCTTTGGGAAAAAAAAAAATCTTTATAGTGAGGGTTGTTTGTAAAAAGAATATTCCCTTTGCATCCTGATAATCTGGGTTCAAATTTTGACTCTAACATTTACTAGCTTTATGGCTTTGAGTAAGTTACTTCATTTCTCTGAGCTGCACTGGAAACAGGAATAGGTTTTCATCTCCAGCCCCAGTACCTGGCTGAGTGCTGCACACACACCAGGTATTCATTTAATGCTCCTCCTTTTTACATTCCTCACAAGTATTCCATCACATTCTGTTGCAAAGATGTTCTCTAGAGAACAGGTATCTAAGCCCTAGCTATTGTTTTACATATTTCAAAGAGTTTGCAATATATCAGTCCCTCCTTATCCACGGTTTCACTTCCTGTGGTTTCAAGTTACCTGTAGTCAATCACAGTCCAAAATATTAAATGGAAAATTCCAGAAATAAACAATTCATAAGTTTAAATTGCACACCATTTTCAGTAGGGTGATAAAAATCTCGCACTGTTCCGCTGTCCCACCTGGGATACGAATCATCCTTTTATTCAACATAAAAGCTCTACACGCTACCCTCCTATGCTGCCCACCTGCAGTCACTTAGTAGCCGTCCGTATTGCAAACGCAGTGCTTATGTTCAAGTAACCCTTATAGTAGCCTCACACTGTCACAATGCCTACATCATTCAACTCACTTCATCTCATCACGTGGGCGCTGTATCATCGCACATCATCAAGAATAAAAAAAAAAGCTCTGGCTGGTGTGGCTCAGTGCACTGAGTGCCAGCCTGCAAAATCAAGCGGTCAGTGGTTTGAATCCCTGTCTGGGGCACAAGCCTGGGTTGTGGGCCAGGTCCCCAGTAGAGGGAGCATGAGAGGCAACCACACACCACACATTGAAGTTTCTCTCTTTCTCCCTCCCTTCCCCTCTCTAAAATAAATAAATAAAATCTTTTTTTTTTAAAAAGCAAGGAAAGGGATGAGTACAGTACAATGAAGTATTTTTGAAAGACCACATTCACATAACTTTTATTGCAGTATATTGCTACAATTGCTCTACTGTAGTACTGTTGTCAAGCTCTTACTACGCCAGTTTCATCAAACTGAACTACCATAGGTATGTATGTATAAGGAAAAACAGTAAAGCTGACTCGAACAACACGGATTTGAACTGCACTGTTCTACTTATACAGATTTTTTTCAGAAATACCGTATAGGTATTTTCTCATGATTTTAACATTTCTTTTTCTCTAGCTTATTTTATTGTAAGAATACATTGTATGATACATATAACATACAAAATATGTGTTAACAGGCTATGTTATCAGTAAGTCTTCTGGTCAACAGTAGGCTATTAAGTTTAGGGGGAGTCCAGTGTTACGTGCACTTTCAACTGCGTAGGGGGTAAGCACCCCTAACCCCTGTGTTGCTCAAGGGTCAACTGTATACACAGGGTTTGGTACTACTTGAGGTGCCAGGCATCCACTGGGGGTCTTGGATTATAACCCCCACGGATGGGGGGGGAACTACCAGAGTAACCTGCTACAGGGGAATTCAGGCATTTCCATGAAATTCACAGCAGCTCTTCAGCTAAATTAAACTAACGCTTCATACAAGGAATGAAAGTATAAAGAGAACCACTTTATACTTTAAATATTATTAAAAATATAACTATTTGAAACCTTGCTATACTGGGGAGGAAAGGAGAAGAGAAGACAGTCTCCTCAATCAATTTAGATACCGTCCTGTCCTAGATGGTGTCGCTGTCATATACCAAAGATACTTTTGCAGACAGAATCCTTGAATCCTAAAACCTGTCCGAAAGAGTTCAGAACATGAGTGGTCCACATGGGGCCCCACCTGGTCATAACCAGTCTTTCTACAACAGCTGAAAAACACAGGCACCTGCAGTGAGAATGGAGCTGAGGGTGTGAAACCCCTTTCCCTCAGGGTTTACCACAGGAGGGCACAACCATAAACTCTGCTTGGGGGCAAAGCTCTACTTCCAAGAAAATCAAAAACCTCCAGTGAAACTTCTATAAATCAGAGAACTCCAGAACACAGTAGCCCAAGGGCCTGTTTTTCCTATAGGTTTCTTGTAATAGAATGGCACCAGTCACAAATGAGATCTGGTTTCTAAAGAGATGCAATTCTGCTTCAGATTTTCTTTGGTATTTAAGTAGTTATGAGAAAAGTAAATCACTAAATACAAAAAACTAACTGCCGAAGGATTTTCCAGGAATGCAGCAGTGTTAGTCACAGTTTCCCCATTTCACTTCCAATTGGTCTTTCAACTTCTTGTGTGGTTCCCACACACTGAAGAGTTCAGGGCACTTCCAGCTATATTAATAATAAATATTGAAAATAAAGACACAGAATATTAAAAACTTGTGGTAAAAGTGATTCTATTGAAAGAGTTCTCAGTGCTATCACAAAAAAGAGGCAAATGTAAAAAGCAAAGAAATCACTGCAGTATAAAAGATGTGACTCCAGGTAGACTGTGTTACCACAATGAGACACAGCTAACTTCACACAAGCTCTGGATCTACTTTGCCCATGGCCAAACTACAGCAAGAACTGTGTCACAGTCTGGTTACTACAAGGGACATCCCAAAGTTAGCAAAACGGAGAAAAAAATTATACAGGATAGCTTTTAATAATCCATTAATCAAGAAAAATGTTTAAATAATTCATCATAATTCATCTTGAAAACTGCCCTGGTACAGAAAGAAGTCCAAAACTAATAATTTTATCACTACACATTTTCCCAGGCCTGCAGTTACAGCCACGCATGGCTTACATGAAACCACCTGTTCTGGTTGGCATAAACCATGTTACTTGACAATTCATGCCTAATCATTTTATCATACATGGATCTCAAACTTTCCTTTTATTGCCAGGGAGCCACAAAGTTCACAAAAACTACCTCCCTGAGGTTGCCAACCTGATTTTCCAATCTGGCTTACCAACAAACTCAACGCGCCATTAATGACTCTACATCCTCAGTAAGAAAGACAACTCACACTCAGCTTTAGGGCCACAGACGAGTGGTTGCTGTCCAGACTTTTCTAAGGGTCACAAGTGTATCTCCATAAGGTATGTCAAAACCTGGGGCCTACTAGGATGCTGTTCCTCTATGATACTTGGGAAACAAGGAAATCTCAGGCAGTAGTGCAAACGTTCTGAAAATTGTAAAAAATTTTTAGATGTGTATTTTCCTCTGATCATGGATGTTTACGCCAGAAATGGGCAGTTTTGAGGGGGTGAGGAATAATGCATACAGCCTCAAAGATACCTGGAGATGCCAAGGATTCTCTAAAAACCTTGGCCAGATTACTAATGGTCCATAAACCCTAATTCGGAGTACACAGGCCTATAAATTCACAATTGAATCGTACTGACTTATTAGATTCCACACCATCGAAACCACAGCCCCATCAGTCATAACTGAAACTAGGAATACTTTAGGTACACAAATGTTAAGTGCCTGCTTATGTATTTTTAATTGGATCAAATAAAACTGAAGCTGCAAACAAACTCAAATTTCAATTATCTCACTAGTGAGGGGATTTCCTAATAGCGTCTTTTTAAAATCCAAGTCGCTGCCAACCCTCTGCAAATCTGATAGGCATGTCCCTGGAAATTTGGGAGCAAAAGACTCGTTACTTCTCAACAGCAAAGGAAATAAATAGCCTGAACGGAACACATTCCTTTTTTTTTTTTAAAGCTCAAACATGCAATCTAATAATGCATAAAACTTGGCTGTAGGGTTGCTGGGCACCTCCAGGGTTCCAATTTTGGGGGCCAGTGCGCGTGAGTGCGTAAGAAGGGGGCGGAGGGGTGCGCGCTCCGAGGACGCGCCGGGGCTCCCGCCCCCTCCCGGAGCAGCAGCCTGGCACCAGCCCACCCTCCTCCACCCCTGCAAACCGACGCAGGACGCCAATAGAGCAACTTCTGCGCGGGGGCGGCGGCAGAATAGCGGTCACCCCCTCCCAAAGTGCGGCGCGGCCGGGCTGGGGGTTCCCTCCCCGACCCGTCCCGTGGGGTCCTCCCCACGCCCCGCCCCCGCCCGTCAGGCCTAGGGTTGGGGGCTGCCAGGACCCCCCGCCCCTCCGCGCGGTCCGCAGCGGCGCACTCCCAAGGACGGCCGCCAAGCCGGAGCGCGGCCTGAGCGCGAGCGAGGCGCGGCGGCGCCCGGCCCCCTCTCCTCAGGCCTCAGGCCGCCGCCTGCCCTCCGCCAGGCCGCCCGCCGCCGGCCCCGCTCGGACCCCGGCCCGGTCGGGCCTCGGCGCCACCACAGCCCCTCATCCCGACTTCATTCATAGGGGCACCCCAGCCCGGCCGGCGGGGCGGGGCCGAGGACCCGCGGACAAGGCCAGCCCCCCAAGGCCGGGGAGGAAAATAAAAAGTTAAGAGAAGAACTTACCTAAAATGGCTCCTGCAGCAGCCAAAATACAAACAGCTATTATTTGGTGAAGTTTAGCTCAGACACCCTGCAAGGACACCCTAACCCGGCTCAGGCCCGCCTTCCTTGCCAAATCATTGGGCTTCGCCAGCCCAAAACATAGAGTCATTGGTCAGTCTGGCTGCCGCTCAGGTAGAAGCCCATTTCAAGCTTGCTTGCAGGGGCGAGTGATGGGCTCGCTCCATTGTGCTCATATTTGCATGGTTGTGAGCGCTGCGTGGATTGGCCGACGCTGAGGACGCCCCGCCCCCTGCCTCGCGCCCCCTGCCTAAGAGACGCTGCTGCGCGCGGCCCCGCCCCCCGGGACACCGCGGCGGGGCCAAGGGGGAGGGGCGGGGCTGGGGTCCAGGGGACCTAGGGGGCGGGGCGGGGTCCTGCACACTATAGATCGCAGGCGGGGGGCGGGAACCTGGAGAGCGCGCGAGGCGGGCCAGGGTTCACCCAGCAGGTGGAGGTCGGTAGCGGGCTAGCCATCTGGGAGACCCGAGGCTAGTGTCTCCGGGGAACGGGAAGGATGTGGCTGGGGTTCCTCGATAGAGAGATTCTGCTGGGACCGAGGTCCCGCAGACCGAATCGAGAAGAGGCAAGGGTCGCTCAGAGCAAGGAAAGGTGTCCAGAAGCCAAGCGAAGAGCCAACGAGTCCTACGCTGAGTCTCCTGCCGCATGTTCTGCCGCTCCGTCTGGGTCCCTGGCACTCCTGATATTCGACCGGCTTCTTTCTAAGCCCCTCGCACACCCCTGGAGTTTTCCAGTCCCGGGGATCCTGTAGCGCCTTGGATATGTCTCCGTAAAACCCGGTGTCGATCTATGATGTATGTATTTTCAGGCCTCTTTCCCGAACCATCCTTTTAGCATCCTCAAGGACAGGGCCCAGTATATGGCAGAGTTTCAGCTAAATGTTTAACATTTTTTTAATTCCTTCGTTAGCAGCTAATTTTTGAGTGTCCACTAAATGCCACGCATTAATCTAAGACAGGGAATACAACAGTCAGTAGAACAAAGACAACAAGGAGAAGGGGAGCTAATGGGAAAGAAAGACAGTAAATAAATACAAGAGGCAGACAGTGAAAAATGTTATAAAGAAAACAGAAGGAGGCAGGGAGGGAAGGGGTTTGTCCGGTGTGGCTGATACTGTGAATCCCATGAATGCCCCTCTGCCAGGACCTAACTCCTCACCCCTGCCTACCCTTACCATGAGTGTCTCCTTAGCACCCACTTAAAAAATGGTTGGATTCTGACTGTAGAGGCTCAATTTATCTTAATTAAAGTAGCAATGATCTGAGTCCTGATGATTTCAGGAGCAGTTTGTCAGATACATTTAAAATGAACATGGTTTGCCTTCGTCAGGGGTAGCTATAAACACTTCAGCAGAGCCTTACTGCACCCCCAGAGAGAGGATATTTTTGGTGTCTTTGAAACCTCAGTGTTCCTGTGGTTTTCAGCCTGTTCTCCTAACTCTCTTCTAAGGACCACTTCTCTTCTTGGCAGAGACCAAAGATTTCACCAGTTTGAAAATGCCGAGATAGCAGCCCCCTACCACCTGTCTACCTCATCTGTGCACGTGTCTGTCTCTCATTGGACTCAAGGCTGGCCAAGAAGGCTCATGATCCTTCCTTCCTCTTCTTTCTTCCTTAAATATTTACTAAGCACCAACTGTGTTCCAGGTATTGTTCTAGACACAAGGGATATAGCATGAAATAATGCAGACAACAGTCCATTCCTTAGGGAACTCATAAGCTAGTTGAGGATAAGATGGAGATTTACACAGAGGTCCTGTGGCTGTTGGTGAGTTGGTGAGTGAGTATGCAGAGCTGCTTGTCCCTCCCTGCCTCACAGGGTAAACATACTTGCCCTTCCAAACCAGCTGCTGCAGGGGCTGAAGCAGGACCAGGCAGCTAGTAGCCACAGCCTCTCCAATTTGACATCAGGATCAAGGAATCTAAATTTCTCAAGAGTGATCATGTGGCTCAGGTCTGTGCAATTTTGTTTCTGGAAAGGGGCTAGGTGCAGAGTTATATCAGAGACAGTGTCCTATATTAGGAGTCCTACATGGCCCTCCCTTTGCACAATCAAGTCCCTTGCCCACAAAAGATGAAATAAATTGGCTGAAGAGGAATAGGATCCAGACATAGGGAGCACAATGTGTATGCAAAGGCATAGAGGCAAGAAACAGCAGGATGTGTGGCAGCTGGAGGGAGGGAGAAGGTAGACTTGTCAGTAATTCCTGTTCTTATACTTAACAAAAGTCAGTAGCATGTAATAAGTTACACAAACATGGAGATACAAACATTATGTCACTAAGTAAATCAATAGAAGTACATGATTCTCAAATGAATGGAACAGGTACAAGTGAAGGAAAGATCTGGAAGCTGTGCTGGGGAGAGGTAGCAGGCTTAAAGAGTCAAGACAGCAGAGCTGAGCAGGGTTAGTGGAATCTGTCCCTTAAAATACTTCTATGCCTCTCAGGGACCTGTGGGTAGGCACTGGAGGGGAAATAGAGACAGCCAAGTGGCTTCTAGCTGTACGCATTCATGGAGGTGTCTTGGCCTGGGTTCACCAGAATGCAGAGCCTGATTCAGGCAGACCTGAGAGGCAAAAGTCCAAGGACAGGGGCATTACTCATCTGGCCTCCACGAAGTGTGGCTACTTGCTTCTGAGAAGCCACATAAAATGAGTCTCAGCATACAGCCTGTGAGAGGGGGAAGGGAAGGAAATTTATCCACCAGCTCATTTCCCATTGGCTAAAGATTTATTCCAGTCGTTCACAGCATAGGTGTCAAGTGGGGTTCTGTGGTGTCCCCAGACTCAGGACCATGAGCTAAAGCATTATTAGAATGCCATTTGTGTCAGAGCACAAGCAGAGCTGGATGTCACAGCAACTGCTGGAATAAGAGATGGTTGGCACTAAGAGGCTCTGGCGGTCGGGCAGGTGACACCAGTGGTGCACAACTTTCTGTACCATATGGTGTGTCCATGTTTAGAAAAGACCCCAGGAGAGCAAATCCTTAAGAGCTCTGAAGGAGAGCCACAGAAGGGCTTCCAGCAGTTCTAACACATTCTGATGGTAACTCCATAAACACAAGTTACCTTCTGCCTGACCACATTGCCTTCCTGCCCCTGTTCACTTGTCTGTTTCCTCCATTAGACAGTGAGCTTCTTACTTGTTCTTATTTATTTTATTTATCTGAGGCAGAGAAAAGGCTCTCTTCATCAGCAGCCCATTTCATTTTCCTCCTAGGCTCCTAGCAAAACTCTATTTCTCAGTAATCAGGTATGCCCACGTGACCCAGCTCTGGGTAATGAAATTTGGACAGAAGTGATAGGTGTATTCCATTTCTGGGCATCCCCTAAGACCTCTTGTGTAATCCTCAAACTTTCCTCCATTCTCTGTCTGCTGGCCAGATGCAAAGATACCCAGCAGAGTACTTAGAGGACCCAGACAATGGCAGTGGAGCGAGCCTAGGTCCCTGGCAGACTGCACGGAGCAGAACCCTGTACTCCCCTGCAGTGGACTGTGCTGTGAGGGATAAAGTGTCAGTGTCGAGTCACTGAAATCTGAAGGTTGTTTGCCACAGCTCTTAGCACACTGACGAATACAGTGCTTGTCTAACTTCATTTATTTCTGTGTCCCTCAGGGGCAGGAGGGATCATGTTTATGTGGCTTTGTAACCCAAGTCTTGGTGTGATGCCCAACACATAGTAGGCATGGCTCAAAGTGTATGAGCTGATAATGTGAGCCTGGTCTTAAAGGATCAGGGGGAGGAGGTCAAGCAAGGGGGCAGGCAGAAAGTGGTGTATTCAGAGGGGCGTGGAGTGTGAAGACTGAAGAGACTAGGGAGGGCCTACATAGTTCTCAATAGTGCAAATGATTGATGATGTGAGAGGGAGATGCCTGGTGAGGCTGGAGAGAAGACAAGAGCAAGATCACAAAAGGTCTTACTCACTACAGGAAGGAGTTTGAACTATATCCTACAGGACTCATTCAAGGATTTCAAGCAAGGATGTGATGTCAGCTTTGTGTTTAAGAAAAATCTTTTTACCAGCCTGGAAGAAGGATGGATTAAAAAGGAGGAAGCAAAAATATGGATTTTTTGAAAGCAACATTTTCCTTTGCCCCAAATCATTCCATGAGATACTCCATTAAAAAGAGGTTTGGGGGTCAAGTTGGTTAGGTAAGTTGTACATGCTCTAGCCCCTTTCCTATTGCTCAGTAGCATATTAAAAACTGAGAATTAATGAAATCTATTAAAGTGTAACATAATAGTTCTCAGTGAAATCTATTAAATGTTAGGAGTTCTCAAAATTATTTGACCACAGAACCCCCTTTTCATTTAATACCTATTAAAACTGTTACTTGAATTAGATTTGCCTACATAGAACAGAAAAAAAGAAATACAAGGACATAATACGATCGAAGTGTACTTTTGTCTTGCATTAAAGAAAACTGGGAAGCAAGTAATTCAAGAGTGGTTTGGCAGCTCTGTGGTATTGTGAATCCAGGCTTCAGTATTTTTGCTCTGCCATCCTTTCTTTTCTATGGTCCAGGATGGCTGCTGAAGCACCGGTCCATATACCCTTGGAAGGAAAAATGGAAAGGCAAAATGAAAAAGTACAGCTGAGTCATATCCCTTAAGCTGCCTTTGTGGAAATATTACACAGCACTTCTACTTATGTCTCATTGGCCAAAACTCAGTCACATGGCCACACCAAGCTGCAAAGGAGGCTGGGAAATATGCTATTTTATTTTGATAGGCTATGTGCCAAGTTGAAAATTGAGGTTCTGTCATTAAAGAGTTGAGAAATTCAACTAGCAGCCTGGTACAAGTTCCCACAGAAATAATGTTCCATAGAACATACGTTGGGACAAAATTAACTAAGGAGATGGATTTTTTTAAAACATTTTACAGCTTTATTGAGGTGTAAGTCATATGCCATACAATTCACCTATTGCAACTGTATAGTTTGATGGTTTTTAGTAAATTTATACAGCTTTGCAACCACCGCTCAGTTTTAGAACATTTGCATCACCCCAAATAGTTCTCTTCTTCACATTTGTAGTCAACCCTCCTTTCACCCCA